TCTCTCTCTCTGCCTCTCCTTCTCTGTGTAACTCTGACTTTCAAGTAAATAAATAAATCTTTAAAAAAAAAAAAGTCAAAGTTCACCTTCTGATGACTCAAGTTATAGAACATGTGCGTGTCAGTGTCACTGTTTCCTAATGTATTGTAATGTACACTGACACATTGAAAGTTGACATTGATGCAACTCAGAATTTTTTAATATGGAGCCGGCGCCGCGGCTCACTGGGCTAATCCTCCGCCTAGCGGCGCCGGCACACCGGGTTCTAGTCCCTGTCGGGGCGCCGGATTCTGTCCCGGTTGCCCCTCTTCCAGGCCAGCCCTCTGCTGTGGCCAGGGAGTGCAGTGGAGGATGGCCCAGGTGCTTGGGCCCTGCACCCCATGGGAGACCAGGAGAAGCACCTGGCTCCTGGCTCCTGCCATCGGATCAGCGCGGTGCGCCGGCCGCGGCAGCCATTGGAGGGTGAACCAACGGCAAAAAGGAAGACCTTTCTCTCTGTCTCTCTCTCTCACTGTCCACTCTGCCTGTCAGGAAAAAAAAAAAAAAGAATTTTTTAATATGACTTTTCTTAAAGGTGTGGAATACCTGTAAGTGCAAAAACACCTAAGACCAACATTGCAAGAACTCCTTCCATTCACACCTAACCTATTGAAAAAACTATTGGAATTAACTAGTAAGAAGGAAACTTCTACTTGAAGTTGCATAACATTACTCTGCTTCCCATTCTATTGCCAGATTAGTATCCAGGTATACATGTACGACCAGAGAACTCATTGGGCCTTACATAGATTCAGCATCAATTTCTCTAGTGTCTACCAGCACAGAGCTCTGTAATAATTATGTAAATGTTTCCCTTATCTTTATTAAATGTAATCATTATTAAATTTAGGAAGTAGAACATAATTTATTCCAGGTCCTAGGGTTGACACAAAGTACTACACTACAAATAGAGGTGTTGCATATGGAAATAATTAAAGTAACTCTGGTTAAAAAATTAAGATTAATTATTAAATATTGTGTTACAAGAAGTAACCCAATAGCCTTTGTTTAGCCATCTAACACTCAAAAATCATTTTTTAAATAAACAAAGGGTGAGAATGCGTGGTGACATTGGGGGAATGTTTCTGTTAAATTCAGCTGCCACTGGGAGGTCATTTGTAAGCATTTCACAGTATTCTGTGGGTTCCTGCTCTTCTCAGACATGACATGCTGGAGGGCCTCAAGTGTCAATTCAAGGGCCTATTTTTCCCTTCACATTATTTTCCTGGCTAATCTCAAAAATGCCTGTAACTTCAATAGACTTTTATATTAGTGTGTCCCCAATTTGCATCTTTAAACAAGACTGCTCTTCTGTGTTTTTGACCCAACTGCTCAGCATCTTCCATAGGTACTTGAGTCAGCTCTGCACTCAACATGCTATACCAGAGACCACCCTCTCCTGCCAGCTATCTGTTTCCCTTTACTGCTGGGCATGGCAATGAGATAGCAAGGGACATGGTTGAATGAAGCTCTCAGGAAAGCTCCCAGATTGGGGGGGGGGGGGGGAGCGAGGGTTGTCGCTTTGTCCTCCTCCCTTCCTGAAATGGAGAAGCAGGGAGGGGCAGTAGCTATCAAGATTGTAAACATTCAACCAATTGTTTTTCTTACTCAATGTTTCAGGGAAATTAAATTCTCACCTCTTCACCGATAATCTCATTTTACAACAAATATGGCCTAACCACTTGCTCAACCACAATCCTCTTTCCAAGTTAAGTATGTACTTAAATGGGGAAGGACAGCAAACTAGGGGAAAATAAAATTGAAAATTGCAGGAGAGGTATCAGCCACTACTTAAAGGTTTTGTTGGAGAGTCAGTAGCAACCACAAAGCAGGAAGCAGAAGGTAGAGGAAAGTGGCCAGATGAAGTCAATAGAAACCATCCACAAAGGTATCTTCTGGGATTAATTCTGTTGCCAGAGTTTCTATACAGAGAGACATCAGATTATTTGATGTGTATTCTTTTTTTTATGTGTATATACCTACTTTACAAAATGGATGGGAACCCAATAAGAAGTATGATAAAGAGCCTTATTCAATGGTGTAAATCTCTTAAAAGTACTGGTTTTATAGTTCAAGTCAGTTCTCCAGGAAGGGAGAACTATTTGGGGTCAATACTGTGGCACAGCAGATTAAGCCACCTGCAATACCATTATCCCTTATCAGAGTGCCAGTTCAAGCCCTAGCTGCTCCACTTCCAGTCCAGCTCCCTGCTAATGTACCTGGGAAATCAGCAGAAGATGGCCCAAATGTTTGGATTCCTGCCACCCACGTGGGAGACCCCAGTGGAATTCCTGACTCCTGGCGTTGGCCTGACCCAGCCCTAGCCAATGCAGTCATTTGGAGAGTGAACCAGCGGGTGGAAGAGCTCTCTTACTGCCTCCCCTTCTTTGCCTTTCAAATAAATAAACTTTTTAAATAATAATAAATAAAACACTTGTCTTCAAAAAAAAAGTGTGTGGGGGGTGACTGTTTTAGCTGACACTAGTGGGTAAAGGTAAAGTTTACTATCACCTCAAAGCCTGCATGTAGCAAAGAAGTGTAAAGAAAAATGATTGTCCTAATGTCTGATTAGAGAACCCACCCTACCCTCCATTTGTGGATTTCCTTTACCATACATCCTTCACATTTTGAATATTAGTGTTTTATTTTTAAAGATTTATTTATTTTGAAAGGCAAAGTTATAGAGAGGCAGAGGCAGAAAAAGAAGTTTTCCATCCACTGGTTCACTCCCTAAATGGCCACAACAGCTGGAGCTGGGCCAGTCCAAAGCCAAGAGCCAGGAGCTTCTTCCAGGTCTCCCACACAGGTGCAGGGGCCCAAGGATTTGGGCCATCTTCCAGTGCTTTCCTAGGCCATAACAGAGAGCCGATGGGAAATGGAGCAGCTGGGACTCGAACTGGCGCCCATATGGGATGCTGGCGCCGCAGGTGGCTTTACTCACTGCGCCACGGCACCGGCTCCACACCCTTCACATTTTGAACGGGAAGACTGAACCTTCATAATAACTTCTCAGCTGCACAGCTTCCACCCCACTGTCAGACCACCACTGTGGGTCAACAGCTAATGTTCCCTGAGTGCCCCATGTAGGTGTCATGTTTGTGGATGTGCCTCATCCCAGCTTTATAGTTTTCTGAGGCATTTTTTTCAAAATTGAGCTGGAATTCCATGTTCGTTCTGACCCTAAACCAGTCATTCTAATATATCCTATCTTGCAGGAGGAAGCAGAAGCCTAAAGCATCAGAATTTTTAATCCAAACCTTGGTCATGCGCTTTTCGAAATTTCCATTAAAGGGCTGTATTCAAAGAATGCACATTCAGGAAAGACGTCGTGTCTCTCGGTGCTGGTAGACACCAGTGGTTGTAACTCATAGAAAAGAATAGGCCAGGAATAGTTCTAAGGGAAGGAGGGAGAGGAAGAGAGGGGACAGACAGAGAGACCTATATTAACAGTGGCCTGAAGTTGTATCCTGAGCAGGCCTAACAGATGCTTGAGGTGGATAAGCCGCAGAGTACAGTTCTGTGCAAATATTGCAGTAGACACCAGTGGTTGTAACTCATAGAAAAGAACAGGCCAGGAATAGTTCTAAGGGAAGGAGGGAGAGGAAGAGAAGGGACAGACAGAGAGACCTATGTTAACAGTGGCCTGAAGTTGTATCCTGAGCAGGCCTAACAGATGCTTGAGGTGGATAAGCCACAGAGTACAGTTCTGTGCAAATATTGCAGTGCCAGAAAAGCCAAAAACTTAGAATACTCTGAGTGCCACAGTGTTATCATTTCTTTGTTACAGTTTTGCAGATTCTGCTTTGAAAAGCTTGTCTGTATAATTTATGTTAAGTGTCACAAATAAACATAGGGTCACATCTTGCTCCCATACCTTCCCCAAGATTCAAGCGCTTGTTCTGGACTCCCTTCAGATTAATCATTCCTCCTATACCAATAATTTGAAAGTAGATGTATAATTAAAACAGCTAAACTAAAGAGCATTCAAAGAAATAACCACTTTTTAAGTTAACTTTTAAACCAAACTTAAGCTATGACTAAGCCTCTTTGTATTGTAATTCCTGCTCTTGAGATTTTAATCCTAATCTTTTCCCTGTTTAATCCCTGTGTTTGGCTTCTCTAAACGGAAAACAATAAAGTCTAAACTAATGCTACTGGGACTTTTCCATCTGTTAGGAAAAGGACAGAAAAGGAGATGCAAATCAGGTTCCAGGAAATAAATAAATGAAACCTGGGGTCTAGGCTTGCCAAATCCAACCTTGATGACATACATCAGAGGTGAGAAATCTTTTTCTGCCAGGAGCCATTTGGATATTTATAACATTACTCATGGGCCATATAAAATTATCAACTGAAAATTAGCCTGCTATGGGTCCAGCATCGTGGCACAGTGGGTTAAGCCACCGCCTGCAAAGCCAGCATCCCATTATGAGTGCCAGTTTGATTCCTGGCTGCTCCGCTTCTGATCCAGCTTCCTGTTAATGCACCCTTAAAGCAGCAAAAGATGGCCCAAGTGCTTGGGTCCCTGTACCTAATGGGAGACCCAGATGGAGTTCCAGGTTCCTGGTCCTGCCCTGACTGTTGTGACCATTTGGGGAGTGAAACAAAGATGGAAGATCTCTCCTTCTCTCCATTTTGCCTCTCTCACTGTAACTTTGCCTTTCAAATAAATAATAACTCGTTAAAAAAGAAAAATAGCCTGCTATAGATTTATTGAATTGAGTCCTACCTGCAGTTGCCTTGGCATGACCAGATCAAATGATTTCACAGGCCTTCTAAAGTCTGCAGGCCAGACATGTCCCATCCCTGACAGATGGACAAGTACAGGTGCAAAGTAAAGGGGGTGACGTTTCTTTGTGTAAATGTCTAGTAATCTCGGGTGGGGTTTGACCTACAGTCTTAACCTTGTCATCCAAGTTGACAAATACTGCCAGTGTGCCTTGCCCTTTGCTTTGATCTAGGTCACAGGTGTGAGCCACATGGACCCCCAGTCTCTTCAGCTTCTCTACAGTGAAGTGTCAGTGCACAGTTCCTCTTCAGCGTTGTTTGGCAATGACATCAAGGGAAGTGTGTCAAAGACGGTCACAGGAAAGGAAGGCTAAATTATTGCAACACAAATAAAAACCACAGGTACATAGTCGTAATGTGGAGTGTTTGTCAGCTTGGGGATTAAATACTGACTTCTGATGTTCCAGGCAGAAGCTTTAAATAGGAAAGCACAAACACCTTAGTGGCCAACAATTTTTTTTGACAGATGTGAAGGACATCATTATTTTTATTGCTTTCAACAGACTATTGCGTGTGATCACTGATGACAATTGCAAACACAAGTCATGAGGCCGGCGTTCTGGCATAGTGAATAAAGCCTCCGCCTGCAATGCCAGCATCCCATATGGATGTCAGTTCGAGTCCTGGCTGTTCTACTTCCGATCCAGCTCTCTACTATGGCCTGGAAAAGCAGTGGAAGATGGCCCAAGTGCTTGGGCCCCTGCACCTGCATGGGAGATCCAGAAGAAACTCCTGTCTTCAGATCAGCTCAACTCTGGCCATTGTGGCTATTTGGGGAGTGAACCAGTGGATGGAAGACATTTCTCTCTGTCTCTCCTGCTCTCTGTAGCTCTGCCTGTCAAATGAATAAATAAATCCTTAAAAATAACATAAAGTAAAACAAAAGTCATATTTACATCAATTTTTGTGGCCTATCCCCACCGCCAGTAATCTGTTACTATTATTGTGACAGGTTTAGTGGGTTGGGTGTTTTAATTGTTTTGTTTTGGTTGTGTTTTGCTTGTCAATGATGTTATAACTATTTTTGTCTACAGTTTATTTATTCTGAGGACACTACTAATTCTAGAAGTGCTTCTCATATATATTGATGGATTTCCTTCTTCAGTTTACCTTCAAGAAATTATTTAGTAGTCTGATGCTCCTTGTTTTTCACATATGTTAAGTGTTGAGTCAGTAAATACTTATTAAGCCCCACTTGTTGCCAGACACTGGGCTAAGTGCTTGAAATGCAGCAAGAAACAAAGCAGACGTGGTCCCTGTCCTCATAGAGGTAACTTTAATTATAAGATCTGTTTCCACATCATCTTTTTACCGGGACTTTGTTATTCAAGACTATAATCTCATTTCATAAGGATTTATTCATATGAGTGGTCTTCAAAAGAGTTCATAGAAAATATGTGCTATCGGGAATGGAGTGTGGCACAAAGGGTTAAGCTGCCACCTGCAACACTGACATCCCATATCAGAGAACGATGGTTGAATACTGGCTGCCCAGCTTCCAATCAAGCTCCCTACTGATGATCTGGGAAAGCAGCAGAAGATGGCCCAACTACTTGGGCACATGCCGTCCATGCTGGAGACTTGGATGGAATTCCAGGCTGCTGGCTTCAGCCTGGCCTAGCCCCAACAGATGTGGCCATCTGGGGAGTGAACCAGTGGATGAAAGATCTTTTTATGTATCTTTCCATTCTCTGACACTCCGCCTTTCAAAAAAATAAAATAAATCTTTTTTAAAAAATTAAAATATGTGCTCCATTTTCCAAGAACTTTTTTAAGTACCCTTCCACAACAGAGTTTCTGTAGTGTGCTCAGCACTGTATGGTAAGATGACTGATAATATGATTGAGAAGGTATATATCGACAGATAAATTAAAGATCTCTGGGTTAAAGTAATGCAATGGCCATGTAACCTGTGCACAGTGAAAATACAGAAGGCAATCAACCATCGCTGAAGAACTTGGGAAAAACATCCAAGAGAAAATGATACTTGAGGTGAATTTTTGAAGGTCAGTAATCAGAGAAGATGGGGAAGGACTTTCTAGATTGAGAAAAGCACATTTGGAAAAGTGGGACTGGCATTGTGTTGCAGAGGATTAAGTCACCACCTTCGATGCCAGTGCTCTCCACTTCTGATCCTGCTCCCTGCTAATGCACCTGGGAAGGCAGCAGAAGGTGGCCCAAATGCTTGGGCCCCTGCCGCCCTTATGGAGTTCCAGGCTCCTCGCTTCAGCCTGACCCAGCCCTGGCTGGTGTAGCCACTTGGGGAGTGAACTAATGGACAGAAGATTCTCTCTTCCCCTCTTCCCTTCTTTCTCTGTAACTCTGCCTCTCAAACAAATAGATAAATCTTTTTTTTTTTTTGTAATGCACTTGAAGAATTAGTCTTTTTTTTTTTAATATTTATTTATTTGTTTGAAAGACAGAGAAGCAGAGGCAGAGAGAGATACCTTCCATCCTCTGGTTCACTCTCCAAATGGCCACAGTGGCGGAGCCACGCCAATCCAAAGTCAGGAACCAAAAGCTTCTTCTGGGTCTTCCACTTAGGTGCAGGGGCCCAAGGACTTGGGCCATCTTCCACTGTTTTCCCAGGCCATAGCAGAGAGATGGATCAGAAGCAGAGCAGCTGGTACTTGAACTGGCGCCCATATGGGATGCCAACACTGCAGGCAGCAGCTCTACCTGCTATGCCACAGCACTGGCCCCAAATAAATCTTTTAAAATAAGGAAGGAAGGATCAAATGTTCAGTGTGGTATTCTCTGAGAAGTTCACCGTGGTTCAAGTACAAGGGACCGGAAGAGCCATAAGAGGCAGGAGTCTCTAAAGTGAGTGAGGGCCGGATTATGAAAGGTGCTGCTCTTGACACCTTGGCATGCTGAAGTCAGCAGACACGTTTTCTGAACTTTGGGCCTTTCATGAGGAAGAATGAAAAATGCTCAAATAACAGCCTGCACCAGGTACTGTTTCCTGAGGACCAGTTTGCTTGGCACCTATCCATGCAGTACTTGTTATCATTGCTTTTCTTCAAACCAGATAGTATTAGGAAAACTTGAAATTCTGAAGCTAAATTTACCTTTGCTGTTACTACATAAGTGTCCATTTAAAATGTCACACATTCAGTGCTTCTGCCCCAGCAAGGTAAGCTGCCGCTTGTGACACCAGCATCCCATGTCAGAGTGCTGATTGAACTCCCAGCTGCCCCACTTCCCATCCAGCTCCCTGCTCATGCACCTGGAAAGGCAGCAAATCATAGCCCAAGTGCTTAGGTCCATGCTACACACCTGTGACAACAGGATGACGTTCCTGACTCCTGGCTTCAGCCTGGCCCAGCCCTGTGTTGCAGCCATTTGGGGAGTGAACCATCGGATGGAAGATCTCTCTTTGTGTGTCTCGTTCTCTCTCTGTCTCATTCTGCCTTTCAAAAAATTGTTCTAAAAATAAAATTATCAGGGCCAGTGCTCTGGCATATTAGGCTAAGCCTCTGCCTGCAGCACCAGCATCCCATATGGGTGCTGGTTTGTGTCCTAGCTGCTCCTCTTCCACTTCCAATCCAGCTCTCTGCTTATGACCTGGCAAAGCAGCGCAAGGTGGCCCAAGTACTTGGGTACCTGCACTTGCTGGGGAAACTCAGAAGAATCTCCTGGCTCCTGGCTTTGGATCAGCCCAGCTCCAGCTGTTGCGGCCATTTGGGGAATGAACCAGCGGATGGAGGACCTTTCTCTCTGTCTCTCGCTCTGTAACTCTGCCTCTCAAATAAATAAATTTAAAACTTATAGAAAAAAATAATAAAGTATCATTCATTTTCTACAACTAATCCCTTTATCTCTGCTCTTAATACTGGTACTTATGGGCCGGTGCCGCGGCTAAATAGGCGAATCCTCTGCCTGTGGCACCGCACCCCGGGTTCTAGTCCTGGTCAGGGCGCCGGATTCTGTCCCGGTTGCCCCTCTTCCAGTCCAGCTCTCTGCTGTGGCCTGGGAGTGCAGTGGAGGATGGCCCAAGTGCTTGTGCCCTGCACCCGCATGGGACACCAGGAGAAGCACCTGGCTCTTGGCTTCAGATCAGTGCAGTGCACCGGCTGCAGCACGCCTGCCGCAGCAGCTATTGGGGGGTGAACAAACAGAAAAAGGAAGACCTTCCTCTCTCTCTCTCTCTCTCTCTCTCACTGTCCACTCTGCCTGTCCAAAAAATAAAAAAATACTGGCACTTATGATTACTTGTATTTCTTATTTGAAAGTAAAACAGATTGTGAAATATTTTGATGTTGGTTACAAAACAGCATTTAGGTAGTTCCTTCCTGATTTTCTCTTTTTAAAAAATGGATTTGAAGCTATCTCACCCTACATAGAGAAGCAAAAAGCAAGGGGAAAGGGGTTGAAATATTGTTGATCTAAATAAAGCCAAAAGTAGTTCACTTCTTTTTTAAGATTTATTTATTTTAAATGCAGAGCTACAGAGAAGGAGAGACGGGGTTCATCCACTGGTTCACTGTCCAAATAGCCGCAATAGCCAGGCTGGACTGGGCTGAAGGCAGGAGCTTCTTCTGGGTCTCCCACATGGATGCAGGGGCCCAAGCACTTGGGCCATCTTCCATTGCTTTCCCAGGTACATTAGAAGGGAGCTGGATCAGAAGTGGAGCAGCCAAGACTGGAACCTGCACCCATATGGGATGCTGGCATCACAGGCAGTGGCTTAACCTGCTGTGCCAGAACACCAGCCCCTAATGGTTACTCTTAGGAAGAAATCAAGTTGCAGCTCCCTGGGAAAGCAGCAGAACATGGCCCAAGTACTTGGCCTCTGCCATCCACATGGAAGACACTGAAGAAGCTCCTGGTCCCTGGCTTCAGCCTGACCCAGCCCTGGCCATTGTGGCCGTTTGGGGAGTGAACCAGAGGATATCTACCTCTCTGCCTCTTCTCTCTCTGTAACTCTGACATTCAGATAAATAAATAAATCTTTAAAAAAAAAATAAGAGATTAAGTTAATCCTCATTCTTGAAAAGGCAAATCTGAAAGTGAAACCTATTTGTGGCATCAAAGTAAGCCTTTCGTTAATTTCAGAAAGCATATTTGTAAAAGATTGTTTATTTTAAAGGCAGAGTTACAGAGAATGAGAGGTCTTCCCTCTGTTTGTTCACTCCTCACATGGCTGTAACAGCCAGAGCTGGGCTGATCCAAAGCCAGGAGCCAGGAGCCAGGAGCTTCATCTGGGTCTACCATGCAGATACAGGGGCCCAAGGACTTGAGCCATCTTCCATTGCTTTCCCAGGCCATAGCAGAGAACTGGATCAGAAGAGGAGCAGCCTGGACTGAACCAGTGCCCATATAGGATGCCGGCACTGCATACGGCAGCTTTATCCACACACCACAGCACCAGCCTCAAAAAGCCTATTTTAAACACTTGCTTTATGCTAAACTCTATTTTTAGTCACTAAAAATATGAAATTACTAAAACCAAGTCCCTGCTCCCAATGGACTTGTTGTCTAGGGAAATGTCAAATTGAACCACATGGAATTGCATTGTTTTTGTAGGTCAAGAACGGTCAAATACCGATTCAGTCTCATACAGAGGGAAACAGAAATGTGCAGTAATAAAGATGTGAACAAGGTGTCTGTACACTGACAGTGTTTCACGCTGCCTGGAGCAGTGAGGGCTCGCCAGAGGAAATGACACTTGAGTTGTTTCAGAAAACGATTGCGAGTTCACCATGTGTTCACAAGGAGCAAAGAGAAAAGAAGCATTCCAGAAATAGGAAACAGCATATGCACTGGTGTTGGATCAAGAGAGAACCTAACACGTGGGAAAGTGCAAACAGCTCAGATTCCAAACAGGTGGCATGCCCGATAGGTGGGGGTGACAGGACATGAGGCAGCAAAGAGAGCATAGGGCAGGCAGTGGAAGATTGGATGTGTCAAGGCAAAGAGCTTGATTTTATTCTTGAGGTCAATGACGTGCAGTCTCCCAGGGTTAACGAAGAAAATATTACTGCTTCGTGTCTGTTTTATCTTTGTCTGAACTCCTCAAGATTTCGAATTGTGTGTAAATTAACAATGTATTATTAACAATGCAATTCCTAGTGTAGTACTGGGGATAAATAATTTATAAATAAATATATATGCCATGATGTGTTAGGGGTTAAACTGTGTACCTCCAAAATTCAAATGTGCAAGTCCTACTCCCCATTAGCCCAGAACGAGACCTTATTTGGAAATGGGGTCATTGCAGTTATAATAAGATAAGGTTAGGGTGAAGTAGGGCGGGCGCCTAATCCAGTACAACTGGTGTCCTTTTAGAAAGGGGAAACCGAACACAGACATAGAAACAGGGAGACTGCCACTTGAAGATGAAGACAGAAATGCCTCTAGAAGCAGAGGACCTGCAGAGACTCAGAAACCAGCGAAAGCAAGGGTTGACGCACCAGATTCTTCCTCACAGCTCTGAGAGGGAACCACCCAAGTCAACACCCTGATCTCAGAACCAAAGCGCCAGAACTGTGAGACAAGGAACTTCTGACGGTTAACCCCCTCGGTTTGTGCTACTTTGCCATAGCAGCCAGAGAACAGATACATAGTCTAAGCATGCAGGGGCCCTGGCTGAATGACAGGAGCCAGTGAAGGGTTGGCTTATGTGTAAGCGTCCGGATTCCTTGTGTCCTGATTTATTCCATCTGTGCATTCAGGAATTTAACTTCCCCACCCCCACCCAGAAACCTTTTATTTAAGGAATACAGACTTCATACATTTCATAATTACAGCTTGAGGAACATGGTGATTCTTCCCACCATATCAGCCCTCCCACCCACACTCCCACCCCTCTTCCTCCTCCCTCTCCTATTCCCACTCTTATTTTTTATTAAGATCTATTTTCAATTAACTTTATACACATATGATTAACTCTATGTTAAGTAAAAAGTTCAACAAATAGTATGAAAAAAAAAAAAAACTGTTCCTCAACAGTCAAGACAAGGGCTGTTCAAAGTCATTGCTTCTCAAAGTGTCAGCTCTACAGATTGCCTTTTAGGTGCTGTTAGTTATCACAGGTCAGGGAGAACACATGGTATTTATCCCTTTGGAACTGGCTTATTGAAATTATTTCTTGATTTCTCAGTGCTTATTCTGCTTTTTAAAGCCAGTTTAGTGGAGAAACAATTTATTCTTTTATGTTAGAGGAATAAATACTTAGGAAATCCTTGACCTTTACCTCAAAAACCAACAGGATTCTCAGAATATTAATTTTGTATTTTTTAAATTACTTAAGGAAATTTTTTAAAGGGGGGCAGACTAAACAGAGTGATGATATGCAAAAGTTCTACTAGGGAAAATACGTTTTGTAAAAAACTATCATTTAACATTGCTACCGCCTGCGAAGCCAGAATCCCATATTGGTGCTGGTTCGAGTCCTGGCTGCTCCACTTCTGATCCAGCTCCCTGCTAATGTGGTTGGGAAAGCAGTGGAGGATGGCCCAGGTCCTTGAGCCCCTGCACCCACATGGGAGACCTGGAAGAAGCTCCTGGCTCCTGGCTTTGATCTGGCCCAGCCTTTTGGGGAGCCATTTGGGGAGTGAACCAGCAGATGAAAGATATTCTTTCTCTCTCTCTCTCTCTCTCTCTCTCTCTGCCTTTCAAATACAATTTTTAGAAGTCTTTTTTAAAAAAAGAAATAGGCTGTAGTGAACTTGTAGAAATCTTTTTCCCAGAGTAACAGCATTTGGAGGTAGGGTCTTTGGAGGTTAATTCTGTCACAAGGGTGGGACCCTTTTGAGGGGATCAGTGCAGCTACTCAAGTTGGGGTTCAGCTTCCTGCTATTGCACCTTGGAAAGCTGCAGAGGATGGCCCACATACTTGGACCCTGCTACCCATGTGGGAGCCCAGGTTGGAATTCCTGGCTCCTGGTTTTGGTCTGGCCCAGCCCCAGTTGTTGCAGCCATTGGGGAATGTACCAGCGGATGGTAGATTCACTCTCTTTCATTCTCTCCCTTTCTCTGTCACTCTGCTTTCCAAATAAATCTTTTAGAAACCTAGTCCTGCTACCCTTTAGACAAGTAGTTTTCAGATATTTTAAAGTAAAGAATCCTGGGGCAGACATTTTGCTTAGCAGTGAAGGTGTCTGTGTCCCGTATCACAGGGCCTAGGTTCAGTTCCCGGATACAGCTCGTGATTCCAGCTTTCCACCAATATAGAGCCTGGGGGGCAGCAGTGACAGGTCAAGAAGTCAGGTAGAAAACAGAAGCTGTGAAAATTCATATGTTTGACTCTAATCCCCAGAGTAACAGCACTGGGATATGGGGGTCTTCCTGCCTTCTGGCTGTGACCCCCTGCCCAGCCCTGGCTGTTGCTGGCATTTGGGGAGTAAAAAGCGGGTTGAGTCTCTTTCCCTTGAAAATATATATGTGTATAATATATGTGTATAAAATATATATATTTATATATATTTTATATATAATATATATTATATATAAACATATATTTGTATATTATATATAAACATATTTTATATAAAATATATTTATATATATTTTATACACATATATTATACACACATATATTTTTATATTTTATATTATATTTATATGTGTGTAATATATGTGTATAATATATTATATATTATAATATATAATATAAAAATATATGTGTGTAATATAGAATGCTTTCTCCAAGTTAAAATATATGTGCAAGTACAATATACAGTAACTACATACAAGCAATTTGTCCATCATAGATGACTGGCCCTCTAGAAATTCTAATTCTGTGAATGTATATATTATGCTCATTGTGTAGTTTATTAGGTTGAAAAGAAGTTTGCCCAGGTAGAGATAATGAAGTTGCTACTGACCTGTTATCATCTCCATTTTGGGCTTGGAGTTGCTTCCAGTACTGGGATTGGATTTATAAGAATCCATTCATTCTCTTTAATTTGGTCGCCTTTGTAGCCAACACAGCAGTCTGTGACCTACAGCCGCTTGATCAAGAATAGTTTGTCTCCTGCTGCACACAACCACATTTCTCAGGGAGAGACTTCCCTTCCTCTGTCCTCATCACTGTTCTGTAGCAACTTTGGATTGCTGTACTCATTTAACTATCAGTTTGCCACCTTTGGACTCTAATATAGAATCAGAAACCTGTTTGTCCAGTTTAGTACATGTTTGTTTTTTCCTCACCCGTGACATAATTATATTCCTGTAAGTTGATAAATATTTGGAACTATATATGCTTTTTTTTTTTTTACAGGTAGAGTTACAGACAGTGAGAGAGAGAGACAGAGAGAAAGGACTTCCTTCCGTTGGTTCACCCCCGAAATGGCCGCAACGGCTGGCACTGTGCCGATCCGAAACCAGGAGCCAGGTGCTTCTTCTGGTCTCCCATGTGGGTGCAGGGGCCCAAGCACTTGGGCCATCCTCCACTGCCCTCCCTGGCCACAGCCTACAGCTGGACTGGAAGAGGAGCAACCGGGACTAGAACCCAGTGCCCATATGGGATGCCAGCACTTCAAGTGGAGGATTAACCAAGTGAGCCATGGTGCTGGCCCCTAAATATACTTTTTAAAAATAAGGTAATCATGATCATGTTTTCCCCATTTATTGGAAAGGTAGAGAGATAAACACAGAGGCAGATAGAGATCTTCCATTCCATGCCTGAAATAGCTGGGGCTGGGCCAGACTGAACCCAGGAGCTGGAACTCAATGGTTGTCCCGTGTGGGTAAAAGAGTCCCAGACATTTGAGCCATCACCTGCCACCTTCCAAGGTGCACATTATCAGGAAGCTGGAATCAAAAGCTGGACATGAGTCCATTTACTCCAAAATGAAATGCAAGCATCCCAAGCTGTACTAACCGCTGTACCAAATGCTCATCGAAACAGTTTTTGCATGTTTAGATTGTTATAAATACTAGCAGTAGTCTGGCATTGTGGTGCAGTGGGTCAAGCAGCCACCTACAACACCAGCATCCCAAAAGGGCGCCTGTTCGAGTGGCAACTGCTCTACTTCTTATCCAGCTCCCTACTAATGTGCCTGTGAAAGCAGCAGAGGATGGCCCATGTATGGGCCCCTTAACCATGGAAGAGACTCAGGTTGAATTCCAGGCCCCTGGCTTTGGCCTGGCCTAGCCCTGGCCATTGCAGCCATTTGTTGAATAAACCAGCACATAGAAGATCTTTCTCTCACTCCCTTTCTCTCTGTAACTCTGCCTTTCAAATAAATAAATCTGAACAAACAAAACTAGCACTACATAAGAATTTTGGGAATAGCAGTAGAGTCTTTCAGAATTAGAGTTTTGTATTTATAGTATTTATCACATGGCTCATTTTTGCAAGATCAAAATAGGTCAAGTGGCCAATCTGCCAGCCTATAAATCACTGTTCTGGACTTTTTTCTACCTCCTTCTAGAGGGTACATATAAAAAGGTGCACAAGTTATTCAGATAAGGTGGTCATCAGTGACTCTTCCCAATAAAAATATACAGAGTGTTTATACTTTTAGCAAATGTTTGTTGAGCCTGTACAAGGTGTTAGCAGTCAATCTACTAAACTTTGAATATAAAGTGATAAACTAAATGAATGTGGTTTTGGCCTCATGGCATACGCATGTTACACCAAAAAAATCCACATATACATACATATATATATAAATAGATATATGTGTGTGCATATATATCTATTCTGTCTGCCAGTTATGAAGGTTATATACAGATTCTATAGGAAGAATAAAAGAACCTACTTTAAATAGAACAGAAAAGGAATGAAAAATGAAAGGAAAGGCATTCTAAGCATCCAGATAGTTTGTGTAAAGGCCCTGAGACAGGAAAGAGCTGTTTCAATAAGGCCTTAAGCTCCCTAAGGAAAGGTTTTGGTAATAACAGCATGTTACCTAAGAAGTACAGAAATATTTGCATATGACTGAGTGAATGTTTGCTACCTAAGATTTAGTGAGTACAAGTTGCTCTGTTAAAAACTGGGAGATAAGGTCCAGCATTTGGCCTGGTTGTTAAGAGGCTGCTTGAGATGTCAGCATCCCATACTGGAATACCTGTGTTTGAATCCTGGCACTACTCCCAGTTCCAGCTCCTGCTGGTGTGCAACCTGGGTAGAAGAAAGTGATGGCTCATGCCACCTACGTGGGAGGCCTGG